TATTAAAATTTTAAAATTTCTAGTCATTAAAAGATAAAATTTAAAGTGAAAATGCATGCTAAAGACTGGAAGAAGATATTTTTAATGCCTACAAGGTATTATAAAGAATACATTTAAAAAAGATGCAAATAAAAACTACAATGAGGTACTACTTCATACTCCTCCTAATGGCAAAAATTAATAAAATATTACTATTATCTACCTTCTAAAATATCTGGAATGCAGACAAACAGACCTTCTCTCATACATTATGGACTTTGTAGAGAAAACTGATAGTTATCAAATAAAGTTGAAGATGTTCCACTCTTCTTGCATAAAGTGCTGCTCAGATGGGGCACAGTGGTTCACACCTGTAATCCCAGCACTCTGAGGGGGACAAGTGGGCAGATCACTTGAGCTCAGGAGTTCAAGACCAGCCTGGCCAACATGGTGAAATCCCCTCTACAAAAAAAAAATATAAAAACTAGCTGGATGTGGAGGCTTCAGTGAGCAGGATCATGCCACTACACTACAGCTTAGGCAACAGAGTGAGAATAGGTCTAAATAAATAAATAATGCTGCTTCGTGCCCTATGACTTGAATATTCTGCTGGACATTCATAGAGGGGAACAGAAAGAGGGAAAAAAACCACTAACGTCAGATACTTCTAAACAGGATTTAATATCAAGTTTATTTGTATAGTTTTAACATAGATGAAGACTTGTTATGAATGCAACCATTGTGTAAACAGGTAAGATTGCAACTTTTATATCTGTTTCAACTTTATTGAGAATAGTTTATTTCAGAAAATCATTTCCCACAAACAGTCTCAGCATTGGTACTTGAATAGCTAACTCAATATACCTGTTTTAATCTGTAGCTGTTGTATTGAGGGACTCACCACCCACTGGTACAAAGTGTCTAATTACCACTACTTCTTTCAGCAGTGCTTCTTATATTTTAATGCCTATATACAGCAGTTGGAATCTTGATAAAATACAGCATCTGGCTGGGTACACTGGCTCATGTCTGTAATCCCAATGTCCTAGTGATTTGGGATACTGAAGAGGGAGGATCACTTGCAGCCAGGAGTTCAAGATCAGCCTGGGCAATATAGGAAGATCCTGTCTCCATAAAAAAAAAATTTATAAATTAGCCAGGCATGATGGTGCATACCTGTAGTCCCAGACACTCAGGAGGCTGAGGTGGGAGGATCCCTTGAACCCAGGAGTTTCAGGTTACAGTGCTGTATGGCTCCAGAGATCCTACCTCTTACACTGTAAACAAAACAAACAAACAAACAAAAACAGAAACAAAAAACCCTGCATCTGTATCAGTAGGATAAAGCCCAAGGCTCTACACTTCCAACAAGCTCACAAGTGATTTTAATGTGGCTGGTCCACCATTACACTTGGTAGCTAACCTTGAACACAGTCTTGAGCTCAAGTATTTACAACATGAAACACATATCACTTTATTACAAATGAGTTTTATATTTTATTGAGGGCATTGCTTTCTTTAAAATATGAATATGGATTTATTATTATGAAGTTCATTTCAGGGTAGTTTTGTAGGAATTGTAAAATATTTTCTATGAACCTGGGATGTAGGTAGGTCAAGAACCACTGCCCTGGAAGTTCTACACAACAGGTACCTAACATATACAAAAATATTCCTTACAGTACTGTTTAATAGCAAACAAGTAGAAACAACCAAAATGACCATCAACTGAAACCTGACAGTTACATAACAAACCACATACCACCTAACAGTAAAAGTAAATAAACTAGAGCAACCTAAATAAACATAGATAAATCTTGGCCAACTTGTGTGAAGAAAGCAAGCTAAAGAAAGATATTTGTATTTAAATAGTCTTAAGACAAAAAACCCACAAAACTATATATATATAATGTTCATGAGATAAAGGTATGTAGTTAAGTACAAACACATGGATATAGAAAAGATGCATGTGAATTCTGGATCACTGGTTAGATGTGGGGGGAAAAGGGAATAGGATTTAAGAGAGGTACAAGATACCAACGACACTTCACCTTAATTGGTAGTTTTATTTATTCAACTGGATGATGGGTACAAAGATATTCATTACATTGTATGGCACCAACATTTATATTGCTACATTAGTTCTCATTTGACTTGGACAAAACTCTTAGGCATGGACAGGTGTCTGGAAAACACTGCTCCAAAGCAAAGGATACAGGACTAGAAGTCAGAAAACCCAGGTTCAAGCCTCAATTCTACTTGATACTAATTGCTTAGCTTTAGGCAATTCAAATAATTAACTTATGTGGGTTTTATTTATTTCATCTGTAAAAATGCTACAAATGCTGGGTGCAGTGGCTCCTGCCTGTAATCCCAGCACTTCAGGAGTCTGAGGTAGGCGGATCACCAGAAGTCAAGAGTTCGAGACCAGCCTGGCCAACGTGGTGAAACCTCATCTCTGCTAAAAATACAAAAATTAGAGCAAAAACTTCATCTCAAAAAACAAAACAAAACAAAACAAAGCCACAAACTCACTTTCTCTCTCCAACTCACAGGCTGTATTTGACAGGCAAATGGGGCAATATATGTGAGAAATTTTAAAGAGGGTAGGAAGGATAGGAGTAACTTTCAGAATTAAGAGCAAAACTTTGGATAAATCAGAAGTAAAATCTACCAGTAAGTAAACCAACCAATAAAATATACTCTATTTTCTTGTCATCACTTTATCTAAAGATCTTAACTCCAATTTTAATATGGAAGAAATTTTAATTCTTTTTTTTTTTTTTGAGACTGAGTTTCTCTCCTGTTACCCAGACTGGAATGCAATGGCGTAATCTTGGCTCACTCCAACCTCTGCCTCCCGAGTTCAAGTGTTTCTCCTGCCTCGGCCCCCCAGTAGCTGGGATTACAGGAATGCATCACCATGCCCAGTTAATTTTGTACTTTTAGTTGAGACAGGGTTTCTCCATGTTGGCCAGGCTGGTATCAAACTCCTGACCTCAGGTGATCCACCCATCTCGGCCTCCCAAAGTAGGGATACAGGTGTGAGCCTTAAATGATGGCATAGGGACAGTCATTCTCCCTATTAAAACTGTTTCTTTATGTTAACTATTCATCAAAGGATTGAAATTCACAGTATCAAAACAAAATAAGAGCAATGCATTATAAAGTATTCTCATGTAACTTAAAGAAATCAATGTCACATAAACAGATTAACTGTTGCTTATATGGTTCTCACTGCCCTTTTTATAAAGTGAGCAGGTGGCACATTTTATTAGCCCTATATTACAGATGGAGAAACTGACACAGATGTGGATAGCTAGCCTGTGTAGAGTTGTAGACTAATTCAGGGTCAAACTTGGAACAGCCACTAATTGCTTAATTCTTCTGTGTTCATTAATCTACTAAAAAACTTTATTTTGCCATGATGTTTTATGGTGATTTTGTTTGTCCCAGGAAACAAATTTCTTTGTCAGAAGTCATTTCATAAACATTTTAAAATGGGCAAAGATACTCAAGGAAACAAGCTACTCATCAACTAGAGTACTGCACACCAAGGGACAAAATTAAAACTGCCTAGCCTGCTAAAAATCTAATCCTGTCCTTGCCAATTAACCTTATTAATACTAGAGTAGGAGAAAAGAGAGGTCAAAATATAGGTGAAGGTGCCATTCATTTTCTCCTGGATTTCAAATGATATGACAATTACTGCACAACAGAGATATTTACCTCTGTGTTCCTTAAGTAATGACACGACCCCTATTCTCCAAGTAAAAATTTACCAACAAGTTGGGCAGTTTCAAATTAAAATACTAGCAATCATGACAATTTTCAAAATACTGGCTATCATTAATGTCACCTAACTGAAATCCATGCTATAAACATACGTAGAGAAGCTCTTTATGTAAAAATGTTCATTTAAATGTAAATTTCCCTGTCAATCTAAACAGATAAACGTTATTACATGTATATCTGACTTTCTACTCCGACTCATTAGGTAATATGGTCTCATATGTTGGCACAAGAACTCCAAAGACTTATTGGAGGCATAAAAAAAATTCCAATGAATCATCTATGGATCAAGCATCACATATCACAAAAAGTATTAAACAGGAACATCTTTCATAAACAGCGAAATTTAAAGGTCACCCTCTGTATTCCGTTATTCATCCTTTTGCTTACCAAATCTACCTCACACTAAAGCACCATTTACAAAAAATTCTCTTCTGGCATTGGCAGAAATCTCACCAAGAATCAAAGATCTGAACTTTTTTTAAAACAAAAAGCCCAGGTTTTGCACATTCTTTCCTTTACCAAAGGCCCCCCAACACAGTACAATCTAATTTGGCATAACTTTGTTTCGGGAGTTAAAAAAAAATTCCAAACCTTTAAATTTTCCACTAAAAAACGATTCCTGACGAGCTTAACTTAGAGTTCGAAAACAGGTAACATTAAGGTCCAACCATCTAAAGAAAAAAAACCCTACGACAGCCCTACCGGAATACACAAATCACCAAGCCCGCTGCAGATTCAATCTAAAATCGCGCCTGACAGAGATAAGGACATTCAGGAGAAAAGCTTTAAGGCACCCGCGAATCTCTCAGTGCGCCAGGAAGGGGAATGGGAACCTGACCCCATCTTTCCATCCACTAGGAGAAAAAGCAAAGGAAATGAAATGGAACCCTTCTCCTCTGCGAGGACCAAAGATCTGCTTAGAGCGTCGGTCGGTCCTCCCTCTCCTGGCCCCCGACTCAGGCCGCTCCACGGACCGCAGGGACTGTCCGTACCGCTCCCCTTCACGGACCCACCAGAGAGTCCTCACAAAAACACAGACCTGAAACGAAGTGGCTTCCCCGCCTTTCCCCTGCGCCGAGAGGGATCCCGGTCGCCAACAACAAAGACGCTTCCCGCTCCCCTCCCCCCGCCGGCCCGGGCTAGTCCCTCCCGCGCTGCGGCTCACGGCCTAGCGCCCCTTCCCCGAGCCCCGCTGCGGCGACCCCAAGCGCCGAGGCTGCACGCACCTGCACCTGAGCGGCCCGGGCCGAGGCGCCGGGCAGGAGTTGGGAGAGAACCGCAGCCGACGCGCTGTCCTCCACAAGGCAAGACCCGCGCTCCGGACGCTGTCGGACTCTCTCCGCCTGCAGACGGGCCCGGTAGAGGAGTGGGGACCAAGGCTGCAGCCCCCGGCGCCGGGACGAAGAAAGACGGTGGCGCCCGATGGGCCCGGCTCGCGTTCCCGGGTTTCGCCTCCCGCCGGCCCTGTTCCTCCACACGAACTCGCGTTCTGCTGACTAACAGCCCCGGTGCAGGGCGCTGGAGCTGCCGCGGCTGCCGTCGGCTGCTCTCGGGCCTCACGTCCCGCGCGGCCGTGGTCGCAGCTGCCGCCGCCGCCGCCGCCGCCTCCCTTTCTGGCACCGCAGACACCACCCAGACCTGGCCAGGTCTTTTTTCTCTTTAAACCTGCTTTCTTTGCTCCTCCTCAGCCTGCCAGGCGCGGGGCTCGTTCCGATAGCGGGAGGGAGAGTAGAGGGGAACCGAGGGCACTAGCACAATCCTCCCTGAGCCAGGAGTTGGCCACTGACTGGAAGAAGGTGCCAAAGCTGACCCCGGCTCCAGCCAGCGAGCGGGCGGGGGGAGGGACAGAGCCTAGCCTCGCCGCACTTCCACCAATCACAGGTCGCCCAGAACAGTCAGAGGCGCTCTGGGCTCCAGGAGAGGCTGAGCTCACTCGGCAGGAGGCGGGGATTGCGGAAAAGCAGAACCAATAAGAGCAAACATTCCCCGCCCCTTTGCCTTGATGGACTACCACATTCGGGCCAATGGGGGAATTCTCATTTCGAAGAAAGCGGGACTTGTTCCCCGGGTTTGAGAAAGATGCCGCGCGCAGCGGGAGGGGTCAAGGCTGCGCCTCGTGGAGTGGCCTGGCCTAACAGCCGGGAGGGCCTCGTGACGCTCTTTGACCTCCCAGAAGAGTCACGTGGGCTGACCGCGAGCAGGGGCGGAAAGGCACCCTAAGTTTCTTCCGGGTCATTGACAGAAGCGTCCATTCTGGAAGTAATTCTTTGGCTTTTCCCTTCATCCTTTTGCCTGCTCCTGGCGAAGTGTGGTTTTGGTTTCGGCGATGAGCTCCCAGAAAGGCAACGTGGTTCGTTCCAGGCCCCAGAAGCACCAGAATACGTTTAGCTTCAAAAATGACAAGTTCGATAAGAGTGTGCAGACCAAGGTAGGAACCTCTCTGTTGCACCGTCTCTGACTCCAGGAAGGAATGGTTCACGGGAGAGGGGAGAGAGGATATGGGAGGAGTCGGCTAAGGCGAGTGTGGACCGCAGCCTAGAGTTTAGTCTTGGCTGTGGTGCAACTCTTTCAAAAATGTTATTCTCACGCCCTTTATTTGACCTGGACATGTTGTCTGGTAAATATTTGATGGTCAGCACACTTAACTAATTGCACAGAGTGAGCAGGACCCTAATCAAACCTGAGGTGCAAATGGGACGCTTACGTCGTTCATCGTTCCCATCTGGATCACATTAGCAGAGGGAAAGGAGGATTGTGGCATGAGTGTCTCTTTCAAATTTTACAAGTTTATGAAGACACTTTTTTTCCTTCCTACAAACCCCAAGCCCACAGGTTTGTAGGAGAAATGTGAATGATTAAGCGGTCTTAGGCTGTACTCACCAGTATACTGGGAAATTTCTGTTTTGTAACAGTTGTTTTGAAGATAAAAATATTTGGTTAATGTAAAAATACTTGTTTTGCTGTTTAGCAGGACTTCTGTAAACTGGAAAAAATTCACACTGTCTAGATAGGCAGAGGACTTGGGTTGTATATAACTACTAATTGGCAGGCCAGGCGCTGTGGCTCAAAGTGCTGTAATCTCAGCACTTTGGGAGGCTGAGGCTGGTGGATCACCTGAGTTCAAGACCAACCTAGCCAACATGGCGAAACCCTGTCTCTACTAAAAATACAAAAATTAGCCGGGTGTGGTGGCGGGCACCTGAAATCCCAGCACTTTGGGAGGCCGAGGTGGGCAGATCACCCGAAGTCAGGAGTTTGGGAACAACCTGGCCAACATGGCGAAACCCCGAACCTACGAAAAATAGAAAAATTAGCTGGGGGTGGTGGCTGGCGCCTGTAATCTCAGCTACTCAGGAGGCTGAGGCAGGAGAATCGCTTGAACCCGGGAGGCAGAGGTTGCAGTGAACCGAGATCGCTTCACTGTGCTACTGGGCAACAGAACGAGACTCCGTCTCAAAAAAAAAAAAAAACTACTAATTTACTGTTTGCTGCGAATCTCTCTCCCTGTTCCCATAGCTGTATAGAGAGGAAATCATTGACGACAAGGGCATATTAAGGGCCAGCATCACTCAGATAAACCTAATATTCACATAAGTTATGGAGCTCAAATTCACTAGGTGTGCGGCTTAAGAGAGTTATGTAATATTTAATTTTCCTGAGCCTTACTTTGGTCTCAAATGACAAAGTTGTCAGGATTGTTGTGAGGCTAAACTATATAATATGCGTAAAGGGCCTGGGTCATAATAAGTGTTCAATAAGTGATTAATTTCCCAACATTGATTAAGGAAGCAAAGTAATCTGGTTTTGGTAACCTGTGGTCTTTCTTTTCCTTTCCAATTTCTGTCTTTGCTTATTCTATAAATATTTAACAAGCACCTTCCATGTGTGTTCATAGGTATACTGTGTTCAAAAGAGTTGACTCTGCCTTCACGGAGTTTGTAGTTTCTAGATGATATGGGCAAAGAGTAAGCAGAACGATAAATAAATACAAATTATGATAAATGTTGGTGAAAGGCAACACAGATCAGTAAGGGAGAAAAAGGAATAATATTTTGAATTGAATGCTCTCCTTTCCCCCACTTAGGTTGAGAGGTTTATCAGAATGAAAACCCAAAGCAATATTTGGGAGGACTTTCCCACGTTTTCTCCTATTACCAATAAGTAAACCAGAATAAAAATTAAAAGCTGCACTATTCCAAATACATGCCTGCGTCTTGTGTATTCTTACCCTAAGGCTGTGTACAAACATTTGATTTTGATTGTTTTTCATTACTGTTTTCCTAAAAAGCAGTTTTAATAAGTAACTACAATGTAGCTATCCCTAGGCTTCTCCTACTTGTACTTTTTATTGTGTATTTTCTTGGTGTTCTCTAATAATCTTGTCACTCTGGTCTTAAATGTTTTCATGTGTCTCAGGTTCAGTCATTAAGTTTCATGTGATCATTTTTATATTTTTATCTTCAATTCCTTTCCCTCTTTTAAGTTATGGAAAAGTTTCATTTGTTAATCAGGAGACCACCAGGCTACCTTGTTATTGAAGGTTCTGACAAAAACAACACAAAATATTTTACTGAAGAAAAATCATTAGGTTGATTGTTCATCTGTGTAATGTACAACTAATAATTGGCTGTGATCATAACAGATTCTTGCATCTGCTATGAGTAGCTGTCTAAAGCCAAGACTTTGTCAGAAGCATCTGAACCCAACTTCGTGCCTGTTTTTTACACTGGAAAGCTATTTGATTTGGTGACATCTAGCAAAGAGTGATAAAAAATTCATGGTTCTCTGTAAATCCCCTGTAAATCCCCTAAAGCAAGCTTGTCCAACCCATGGCGCAGGGCGGCTTTGAATGCAACCCCACACAAACTTTCTTAAAACATTATGAGTTTTTTTTTTGTTTTTTTGTTTTTTAGCTCATCAGTTGTCATTAGTGTTAGTGTATTTTATATGTGATCCAAGACAATCTTTCTTCCAGTGTGGCCCAGGGAAGCCAAAAGATTGGACACCCCTGCCTTAAAGGATTGTAGTAATAACTGACTACTTGTATTAAATGCTTTATGATTCAGTAGGGGTCCTACATGATAGTTTTCCTTTTCCTCCTCTGCCAAGCAGTTTGTTAGGACTTCACCACAATTAGAAGCTGGATAATTACAGTTGTTTTATTGGAGTTTATATAGGTAAAGCACTCATTCTACAAAGGACACAGATGATAGCTTTCTTCATATACTTGAATATATTCTAGAAAAGGAGAGTATATTTAAGTTTTGTGCCATTCCAAATGGCCAAACTTGGACCAGGGAGTTAAAGTAACAAAAATAGGTTTCAGCTTAATATGAGGAAATTGTCTAACAGCAAAGGGGCTTGTGCCAGGATTTGTAACCTTCTCTTCCCTGGGGTTATTTAAAAGAGGTCCCTGTGGCCATTGGTCAGCAGTACCCTCAAATGACTTATGGGGATTGAGAGGGTCGGCAGTGGAAATAGGTTTAAGTCTTTTCTAGTCTTCTAGTACTAACATTTTGAGCGGATCAAAGCAGCCTTCTTTCCCTTACTGGAGAGGCAGTGATATGCAATGAAAAGAGCATTGGACTAAGAAAAAAAAGCCATTCCTTAGCCCCAGTTCTGTCATTTGTTTTGCTTGGCGATGTCAGGTAATTTACCTATAGCTTTAATCTATGATAACTGCGTTAGTACTATCTCTTGTCTTACTTTCCTCTCAGTATTGCTACAGGGACCGTTACAAAATTTTTGTTTGTTTTTGAGACAGAATCTCACTCTGTCACCCAGGCTGGAAGTGCAGTGGTGTGATCTTGGCTCACTGCAACCTCTGCCTCCCAGGTTCAAGCAATTCTCCTATCTCAGCCTCCTGAGTACCTGGGACTACAGGAGCACACCACCACACATGGCTAATTTTTGTATTTTTAGTAGAGAGGGGGTTTTACCATGTTAGCCAGGCTGGTCTCCAACTCCTGACCTCAAGCGAGCCACCCACCTTGGCCTCCCAAATTGCTGGGATTACAGGCGTGAGCCACCATGCCCAGCTACAAAAAAAAAAAATTTTTTTTTAATTTTTTTAAAGACGGGGTTTCACAATGTTGGTCAGGCTGGTCTTGAACTCCCGACCTCAAGTGATCCGCCCACCTTGGCCTCCAAAGTTCTTGGATTATAGGCGTGAGCCACCACGCCTAGCCCCTACAAAAATATTTTTAAGAAATAGGGATAAAAATATGAACAAAGAATAAAGCCTGTAATAATTTACATGGACCTGCAACTGAAGCTTGTGATTTGGTGAGAGAAGTGACAGGCATTAATCAAGTAATCTTAAAGGTATGTTAATATTCACAACAATAAGAGCGATGAAAGAACAGTCTACGGAGCTCTGAGAGTATCTATAATAGCAGGAAGTCTTTTTTTTTTTTTTTTTTTTTTTTTTTCTTTTTGGAGTTGGAATCTCACTCTGCCATTCAGGCTGGAGTGGAGTGGCGCGATCTTGGCTGACTGCTCCTCCACCTCCCGGGTCAAGCGATTCTCCTGCCTCAGCCTCTTGAGTACCTGGGATTACAGGCACATGCCACCACCCCCGGCTAATTTTTGTATTTTTGGTAGAGACAGGGTTTCACCATGTTGGTCAGGCTGGTCTCAAATTCCTGACCTCAGGTGATCTGCCCACCTTGGCCTCCCGAAGTGCTGGGATTACAGTTATGAGTCACTGTGCCTGGCCAGTAGCAGAAAGTCTTGATTACATTTGGAGGATTAAGGAAGGCTCCCCTGAAATCAGAAAGATGGGTAACATTAAACTAAATGGAAGAGCATGTGTCTATCCTTTTGAGGATGCTATTAATA